TATGTATATAAAAAGAAAAACAGAGGAAATATTCAATTAAAGGAGGAGTCAACATCTGCTTTTTGAAATAATGTTAGATGACATGGAGCCAGATTTCTCTTAACTACTCAACATTCTAATCAACGAGGGCATATTTTGAAATTAGCTTACTAAGACTATTACAACGGTAAGCCTGGTTAAAGGTTTAAAACAGTTGAGACTGTGTAAAAGAAGCTAAACTACTCTTAGCACACACAGAGAAAATAGATGACCATGCTAAGAAAAAAACTGTTCTAAATCCCAGGGGACATATAATTCAAAAATTTTTAGACCTTTCTTTTTTTTTTTTTTAACTGGCAGTTATATTTAATCCTCTTCACTTTAGAACCAGGACTTTGGACCCATATATGCAAAAAAAAAAAAATCTTTAAAGCAAAATATACAAAAATAATAACATGCTGTTGTGTGCTTCATGAATATATCTTGTTTGTTGATAAAAGTTATGCATTTCCTTTTATGTGAGATAAAGTCATACTGTAACCTGGTCTTTTTTTTTATGTATCAATTTTCTTCCTTTTTTAAAGGTATGGGTGGTGTGCAGTGGTCCTGGCCCCCAGGTGTGATCCCTGACAGAAGGGGCCAAGATGGCATCTGCATCCCATGACCCAGTCTTGGGTCCTGGCCCTTCAGATGACGAAGAGATCCTGCTGGATGATTCTGACTCAGGAAGCGTGCTTTCTGATGACTCGGTACTCCCTGAGTATGAACAAATTACAGTCTATAAGGAGCCACCTAAAACACTGTATGAAGCCTGTGCAAGGAACGACCCCACCTCCCTGAGCAGCATGCTGGAGAGAGGGCTCACCAAAGAGGAGGCCATGGAGTTAGACATCAATGGCAGGGTGAGTTAGAAACTAAATTAGCAGGTTTTACTATATGCTGCAATATTAAAGATAAATAAATAGATTCTTCTTTCTTTTCTGTTCCAGAATGGACTGATGTTGGCTGTGTCCAAAGGTTTTGTAGACATTGTCACTGTTTTACACAAATGCCCATTAATAGACATCAACCACCAAGATAAGGACGGTAACACTGCTCTCATGATCGCTGCACAGGCTGGTAGGTGTCGAAAATCCCAACATCACCTGACTAAACCATGACAGCTTTAATCTTTTTGAGAAAACAAACATGATTGTTATTTTATCTTTTATGCTAGGATTCATCACTATCCTTAACTACATCCTGAACTACTACTCTGGTGTGGAGACCGAGATCAGAGACCCCCGCGGCTTCACAGCCCTCATCAAGGCAGGCCTGCAGGGCCGAGAGGAGTGTGTGTCCGCCCTCCTGATGCACGGTAATTTTAGAAATACATTACTCAGTTTACACTCAAACCGCAGGTGCAGCCAGAACCAGATGAGCACAGGAAGCAAGAAATGAACTCTTAGCAGGTTTCATAAATAAGCCACATTGTCATTATAAATGTTACCAAGACAGTTAAAAGTTATGCATTTTACGCATGCATTTATGTATGTATGTATGTATATATATATATATATATATATATAGATATAGGTCAATGCAAAGTTAAAAATTGCTCATTTGTCTTTAAGGCAAAAAAAAAGAAGAAAATTCCCAACAAAGTAATTTAAGGGGAAATGCGTACAAATGGACCCTAGCATTTTAGTATGTTTGTAGCAAAAGGTATATAAAACAAAAAGAAACATCTTTTGTATTTCTTTCACTCTATTTAATTTTATTCATAGCTATCACATAAAAACCCTATTAAAGGCTTTGATGTTTTTCGCTATGAAGAGACGAATCATGATAAAAGTTAAAGTTGGAATTGTTCTTCCATTCCCTGTATTTTAGTATTACACAATCCAGTCCTCTGAAATTTGTTCTGTGAAATTTGTTCCATGTAAAGTTACCCCAGACAGCAGCAGTCCGCACCTCAAATACAACCACATGGTGGTGTTGTTATACTGATCAAAGCTGTGTGGTTTTAATGCATTTTGTAGACCTGGTTTAATTTCTTCCTGCTTCCTGTTTTTCCCCGTCCTTTATGTGCTGCAGGTGCAGACATGCATGCGGTGGACCTGGTCCAAGGCAGAGGGCTTAAGGACTGGGTTCTTCGGACTGGAAGGTTTGAGACCCTGAACAGGATACGCCGTCTGCAGGCTCATCCTGTTGCTAAGCAGTTCTATGAGAGCTACAAGCCTGAGTGGCCTGAACTGAAGCAGCTGGTAGAAAAGGCCTCTGCCCCCAAAACAGCCAGTCAGAAGTTGAGGCAGCGATTAAAAGAAAGCCTTTCTTTCAGCTTCCCACATGACGCCCAAGACAACGGGGTTATGGACCATATGGTTCGGATAACCACGAGCATTCACAGCCCTCTAGTAGTCACCGGATCCCGGCCACTCTGTCCAACTAGTCCTCCTGAGATCGGCAAGAGAAGGTTCGCTGTACCAGAACTGCTAGAAAAGCACAGCAGTAAGGAGCTGGAGGAGAGCACTGTGTCCCACAGCAACGGATCCATCAGCTCAGCTTCTCCAACAGTTTTGTCCGCCACCTCTGTTTCTCTGACATCCTGCTGCCAGGAAGCAGAGCGCAGAGAGAGCATGGCATCAGGCGGCGTGAGAAGCTTCATCCCCCGCAGCATGGCGCACAGGAACAGCATATTCCCCTCAGGCTGCATTCCTAAGATTGAAGTGACAAAGTCTGGGGAGCCCACACCAAAAAAGGAGAAAAAGAAGAAAAGGCAAAAGGGCTACCTAGAGCCGCCTGTCTGGAAATATAAGGAGGCCAAAGAGGAGAAAAAGAGAGAGAAGAAAAGACAAGAGGAGGAAAAAGAGCAAGAGAAAAAAAATAAGGGGTCCAAAAAGTCATCCAGCAAACACTGAGTCATCAGGATAATATTTCACTGTGATATGTCCAATGAATGAAATGAATAAAACAGTGAGATAACAGCGACTCTGATTTCTGTTACATTACAGGAAGTCATCGCAAAGCAGCTTTCAGAGTGGGAATCTGACAAAAACCCATGAATGGATTCAAACCTGCTCTGAATGGAACCGAGATCCACTGGATTGATTCACACCAGATTTTTCTGCAGGATTTTTTGAAATCTCCGGCATTAAATGGTGTTTTCCAAATCTTGATTTAAACATGTTTAAGCATTTCATATCTCAGCCTTAGTGGATCACAGAGTCTTTTGGTGTTGTATTTCTGCCCATCCTTCAGCTGCAATGAAATACAGCTTTAAAGAATCTAACAAAGGTTTGGGGGAAAGCTCTTGGGAATCTTAATACGAAACAAACAGCCAATAGCCTTTACTGTAACAGATTGCAGCATGAATGTAATATGAACAAAGGCCTTTAGGAAAATATATAGTAGTATTTACAGTTTAGTTTTCTATAATGAGGGAACCAAAAGAGACTTTTTTATATCTACATTTCAAATAACAGACAGTAGAGGTTTATTTTTATGTGGTATAGAAAATTGTTCTTTATTGCCCCCATTTTCAGAGTATGCTTTACTTAAAGCTGATTTCATTAAACCATGGAAAATGTTGTAATCTTATAATGTAATTGAGTTTAACAGTTCAACATATTATAGCTGATTGGAGAATCTCCACAGTGGCAGCTTTTGGGAGGTATTTTTGGTCTGCAGGTTCAATGGCACACATGGTTCAAACCAGCAGACAACTTTACATGGAAGAAGTTAATGCTGATTCTGATATCTCAGAATAGAAAGTACATATACTCAGGTTGTTGAATGTGGAGCTGCTCAGGCACAGACTGCTCAGGCTCAACATGGACTCCTGTCCTCTAACAAACATCAGCTAACGTGACGCGAGCATCAGAACTGGACCACAAAGATGAACGCTTGGTCTACTGAAACATGTGTTGTTTCCTATCCGGGGGATAGTTGGGACCTTATGGAACCAGAATGCACAATGGATGAAATCTAATTCAGAGGAAACAGCGGGATGATTTGGGTAAAGTTTTTCTGGAAAAGCAACTATTTTGTCGATGTTACTTTGAAGCAAACCACCTTCATATCACACCAACCATGTACAGAGAAGCACAAAGAGCTTGTGGTTCTGACCAAGTTCCACACGGAGATGAGCTGGGAAAAAATAGTCAATCCATCGATTCCCAATCTCACAACTTAAAGGACACAAAGGGTCTACCACAGCACAACCTCAGGGGGGACTAGTGCAATCCATGCCAAATAAGCTGTGATGGCTGCCAAAGGAGGACCAACCCACTGTTCAGCAGGCAAACATCTTATTCCTGACTAGTGTTCCAATATTTACCCCGCTGCAGCTTGTAGCATCTACCAGAGCTCTTTATAAATCTTTTACATGTTTCTCATCCTCCAAAACATTTTTGAGTCACATGTGAGTCATTTAACATGGAAAATCCATTTATCTTTACATTTGGTTTGGGATCGAATAAGGACTGCTTTACTGCAAGTCTTTAGTCGTCAACAGCTCTTTGTGTTTTATAAGCCAGGGTGGACAGATACCTTTTATTTGCACACTTACTCTTTGATAAATAAAAATAAGCAAGGCTTTATATTATTCAAAGAACCTATGTAAGAAACTGCCTGCATCAAATATCACTCAGGTGTATTGAAATATTAAAACAGATTGTGTCTAGGATTTTTGTTTTTTGTGCACTGGATAAGTGTTAACATTCTATGTTTGTATACAGTATACTACCTAGAACAGCAAATATTAACATGTGTTAATGAAAAAACATATCCAGTTAAAACAGAACATATTTATCTGTGACATACAAATCCATTTAGGCAATTTCCTATTTGAAAAGTTGATGTTTTGGTGATTATTTTAAAACAAAACAACAGAAGCAAGCACTCAGGTTTTTTTGCATGTATAAGTTGTTGAAGCAATAACAAGAGCTTGTATGCAAGTGTAAAATAAATTTACCAATCTGTTGTAAAATTTGTAAGTATCTCAAAACCACTAATAAAAGCTAAATAAAACCAAATTTACCACAACCAGACCTCACATATTGGATCAATCCTCCCAGACTAAACCTTGTTAATGGCACCTAAGGTTCTGCTCAAACCTCATGGAGGAAAGCACTGAAGCAGCATACAGTTGAGGAAAGGCCAAGAGAGACTGTTTAATGAATCGATACTTGAGGTGGGGTAACATGACAGCTACATCCTATTAACAGAAAATTAGCTTTTAGTAAACCTCCTTTGAGCTCAGGAAGACATTTCTAACCTCTAAAACTGCCAACAAGGCATGGACAGGCTGTTTCCACATTCAGCCATTTAAAATATGCGATCACTTAGACTAAGACTAAGACCAACTTTATTGTCATTTTGTATACACAGGACCAGAGTGATGGAGGCAGACTTAAAGCATGTTGGCACTATGACTTGGTCCAGCGAGGTGTTACAAATTTGATTAAATTAAATGCAGATCAACAATCAAGCAGATATAAGAATAAAAATATTGAAAGTAACTATTTTTAATTTGTATTATCGGGATGGCCTATGCGTAGAGGGGGGCATTAACACAAAAGCTGCTGAGCATTATAAAATAATAAGGTCATATGCTTCTCATATTTTTGAAATGCAAGGCTGTCTTCAAGAGAAAAAGAAGTTGTTTTTTTTTTTTGACAACACATATGGGTCTATGAGGACATTTTGAAAGGAACCTGGAGAAAAGCACTTCTTGGTGAAAGGCTGTACTGGTGAGAACCAGACTTAATTCCAGTGGTAACATGTGAAAAACATTAGAACTACATATATGTAACGTCTCCGTATCAATACAGATTCCCAGTGAACCGAAAAACTACCAAGATTTCTCTTCTTTAGGATAAACAAGACCGATTAGTCCTGAAACCTTATTTACTCTTTTAAAATAAAGATAGTTTGAGCTTCTTAAGACTCTGCAGTGGCATGGAGTGGCGTTTGAACCCTTGTTGCAGCTAATCTTTTAATCCACACTGGATTAGCATTACACAACAATCACCTTTTATTAGTGATAAAATGAAATAAAATGAGGCAACATCTCATCTCTTTAAGCACATATTGAGGTTTTTATAATTTCATAGGGCTGCATTTCGCAATAAAGCCTGTTCTGCAAGAGAATTCACAGTAGCAGCCAGAAAAAGAGAAGCAAAATGTATTTTGTTCTGTTATTGTGTAAAACCATGTCTTATTTTATTTTCCAGAGCTGCAGCTCACTTCCTCTCATGAGGAGGGAACTTTATGACCCATGTCACCCCCGAAATAAATACCTCCCATGGGTTCATTAGGCAAGATGATGTAATTTAAGAATTGATCTCATGATTCAAGCTTTTATCTTGAAGCTTTAAGCTGAAACTGAGATTTTCTCCTTGGTAAATAAGGCCTGTCTGTATTTAAATGAACTGTTTCAGTCTTACTAAATGAAAAAAGACAACCTTTTATTTGTTTTGAACGACTGACAGGATTGAAGTGTTATTTTATGTACTCCAAGGAATCATTCAACAAATGGAAGCTCTTCAAATTACAGAGATTAATGGCTTAAGAAAAATAAGTCCCTAGAGTGAGAAGAACAATTTGCTCTTTTTGCAACTTGACAGCTGATGTGAGAGCTTGCAGCTGGTGCCTAAGCCAAACCGGAGAGATAATAGCGCCTGCAAACAGGGAGGGAAATTTATATTATAGACATGAAGACATCTGTATTAGGCTTTTCGGAATAAATGTTCCACAGTATACTCCCTTTGGCATATTTTATCATGACAGACATTAGCTGCCGCAATCACTGAACTCTCTCATAAATCTATCAGCTCAGCTTTATGCTTCTTTCAGTGCTTCACAAAAAGTAAATATTGGTAGACATGCAGTTTATTTCTCTTTGGTAGATGCAGAGCATAAAACAGTACACTCAATAGAAATGAGCACTGGAATCAAACAGGTGGGTTTGGGATTGTTGCATTGATAGTTGTTCTTCTACATGGCAAAACAGGTTAATGTCTAACAGAAAACTGCATGTTTAGGGCAAAAATAATCATTTTCAGCTGTCTTTCAACAACAGTGTGAACAGATCTTCCCATCAGATATGCACATTTCTGCAGCTCCTCCAGAGTCATCATGCGCCTTCTAGCTGCTTCTCTGATTGATGCTCTCCTTACCCAGCAATTAAGTTTGTGTTAACTCGGTTGGTAGGTTGACAGTTGTTACATGCTATTTCTATTAATTTATTATATCAAATAATAGGATAATTCTTTGTATCTTGTTTTAAAAACAAACCCTGATCAATGTTTTCCCTTCTGGTCTTCATGATGGGTGAAGTTTCACCCATGTATTTATCAAACAATTAACCCTAAAAAAAAATGTAAATTTACACAGTTGGCCACATAAGATCATGGATACTGCATATTATAGAACACTAACTGTCTGAGAAGTCAATAACTGCAAACCTCTAAATGTCATTTGGACCCTAGATTGGGTCAAGAACAGTGGATGGAGATGTTCAGGTGGTGGCTTTTGATATTGAATTACTAATTGGTAATGTTAAATTACCAATGGAACGACCCACTGTTGAGATTAATCAGAGCCAAAACAATTTCAGTCTGAAAAACTAACAATGAAAGAAAGACAATTACAAAAATTTTATTTCGGCAGGAAACATTACCACTGAATTTTGCTTTGATATGTATAAGCAGGTGTATAAGAACAGGGATGTTTCCCCCCAGGCCTGAAACTGGTGGTGGAGTGGAGATAGATGAAGTGGTTCAGTCCATAGACTGCTGGTTGGTGAGACAATCTGCTTGAACTGTATTGATGAGATGCAGTAGACTGTGTGAGCTGACACCAGTGCTTCACTCAGGGACCTGGGAAGATGGAAGTCCAGCTTGGATAAACACAGGTATCATGAACCTGTCCATTATTGGCAAGCATGAAGCGACAGTGGAGAGGAAAAACTCCCCTTTGGGAAGAAAGCTCTGGTAGAACCAGGCTCAACATGCCAAAAAAAAAGAAAAATAAAAAAATCCACTGGACTTGGTTTCCAAGTTTGAAGACGTTTCGCTTCCCATCCAGGAAGCTTTTTTAATTCAAAATGTCAGGAATAGCGTTGAGTTCGAGGTAGCCCAACAAAGCCCTGTTTTTGTATTGAAAACATGCAAACTGGAACAGATGAAGAGGTAAACGAAGATGGTTCCGATAATATGCAAGTTTTACTAATCAATTTCTCATACTCACACATTATCAGCTTCAGGCTGAACATGGCGTCTTCTGCCGGGCTGGTTTAGATGTGACGGGGAAAGCAGAAAGAATCCAGGAGGAATGACACTATGATGGGGACGAAGAAGAAGAAGCACATTGGAGAAGTCAGATGAAGTTTTATCTACGATGGTGGAGAAGGGGATGGAGGTGGGTTGAATTGGGGTCAACTGAATCAAAGTCAGACATAGCACAACAACTGCCTGTGCTTTGGCTGGGTAGCAGACTGAGTTGTGGATTTTCAGAGCTTTTAAAATGAACTCTGGATGCTGAATGGGCTGCGTGGAGGTGTGTTTTAAAGCTGAATGGCTTGTGTCGGAGGCGGATAAGGGTAAGTTATCCAGTTTCTTCAGTTGAACTTCCAACTTCCAACTTCAGTTGAACTTCATGAATCAGGCCTTTTCATCCAACATCCCTGCCCCACCTCAAAAACACCTTCTAGAACAATAACAAAATAAAATTGTCATGATTGGTTTAAGGAATCTGACCCACATGCAGAGAAACCACTCAGAGAACACAGGGAAAAGTTTAACAGGTTTATTTGAAGTAATGTAAACAGAGGTTGGATCTGGAACTCAGTGAACTGGTGAACCAGAACTGGAAAGTCTGAAGGGGAGATCACAGAGATAAGTTCAGGGACCGTGGGAAATGAGACTGCGGCTTGAATTATGCTGGAGAGGGACTCACATTTGAGGGGGCTCTTGTCATTCCTTGAATCCAGTCTGTGTGGGATTATCCAGAGAAGAGGGAACTCGTTGGAGAGCTGACAGGTAGACTTACGTTGGACCCAGAGGAGTAATGGAGCGGACTGTCACTTGGATTACCGATGGGGACTTGAATGGATCATGCGGAGGTTTTTCCCTGCTTAGTGGAAACTCAGTAATTCCTTACACAGGGAGAAAGTCTAGGTATCCAGTTTTCACAGGAAGGCTTCCCAAAACTGGCAAACACTCTGGCGTCGAGGTAGTGACAGCCCACTGCTCAAATACTCCTCCAGTAATGAACCAACGAGCCGCAGGTTTGCAGGGAGGCCCAACGAGGATAGGGCACCACCTGGTGGTGGAGGGAGAAGAAACACACAAGCAACCCACACAAACTGGATTCCTAACAAAATCCTCTAAAAACCTTTTCAAGGAGAGTCAAAGCTTGTCTAGAGTGGGGTGCGATAACAAGAACCCTATATGTCACTCGAGTAATTGTCTGTGTGAAATAATTTTGTTAAGATTATGCTGTTATTTCTATTAGAAATAAGAATATTATTTCTGTGTAACAGTAAATTTTCATCTGGGAACCTACTTTATTGTCAGCTTATAGTGCAGTTTTAAACTTATTGCATGGATTTTATCACTCTAGCAGGTTATGGTTCATTCATTATTAACACATTAACCATTTTTCATCTTGTATTGAAGATTTAAACCTTGTTTCTAGTTCTTGTTGTAGCTTGTGCAATTCTTTGACGCACATTCCTCTCCTTGCAGTCCACAGGGGAAAAGGAAAATGAGAGGTTTAGTGAGCAACAGGAAAACCGCTAAGAGAACACATTCCAGGCGCGCAGACTGCGGACGGAACAATAAGGGGTGGGACAAAAAAAACCCTCTATGCCTACAACTATTTAAAAATCTCTAATCTCGAGTTTTAATCGGGAACAGCAGCTGAAGGGTTCGTACTTAAAGGGAACCGAGTCTGATCTGCCAGTGTGAAGCCAGTCAGAGCGGAAGGAGTCTGGCCCCAAACCCCGCGACCATGTTCCTTTTTTATCAGCGCAGATTTGGACCCAGATGAGATAGACAACCAGCTCCGTGGCTCATTTCTTTCTCTTTCCTAATCGTTTTTTCTTTTTTTTTCTTTTTTACCACTAATTTTTTTTTTTTTTCCTTCCTAATCGGGCTTTAGTTAGAAGCGCTGAGGGGAAACTTTTCTTTTTCTTAGAAACTGCGGCTGGTTCGTCATCGAGAGCGCAGATAGGATGTGAGATGAAACATCTGCAGCTGGGCCCTCCAACTCCTTCATGAGGCCACATTCACCTCCTGTGCTGCTTTAAAATGTCTTATTCCAGATTCCTGTGATATGGGCGACGTGTGGCGTTTATATCTGTCCATTTAAAGAGGAGCAGAAAACAGGTAAGGAAGGCATACTGAAATGTTTCTATAAAACCGTAAAAATTGTTCCCATGCTAGACTATTTGGGGTTGATTATGTTGGAAGCAGTGCCCTTAATCTAAATCGGTTTTTAAAGCGGTGCAAGTTTCCAGATGTGAACAGGTGTAAACCCCTTTAGACCGTTTATTATTTTTCCACTTATCAGCACCCAGATTTAGGTTCAGACATTATGTCCAGTGATTTATCATACAAACTGTGAACTTTTCAGGATTTGTAATCTGATTTAACAACAGTT